CAAGGAAAGATGGCAACTTGGTGGCTTTTCTCAAAGGCAAGAAGGAAAGGCAGAGGAGGAGGCTGGTCAGCAGCTCCAACTCACGTAGAAACAAAGGGAAAATACCCTAGGATCATGTTCCATTAGCTATATATAGTTACTTAAGTTTTAAACGCACAGTGTTAGTATTAATAGCTACGCTTAGCATTTTAATCCAAATTTTGGATTCAAAACCTACTCATTTTTCTAAGATTTATCATATTTTTATATTATTTTTCGCAGCACCTTTCCGGTATGCGCTTTTCCATAGCCAGTATCAGTTCTGGCACCAATTCTCATTATTTTGACTTGGAACTTGTTTTACAAGTCCTACATATTATTCTAAGAATATTCATACACTTATTATAATTTTCTGGGATACTTCATCGGTACGCATTTATACCGAGCAGCAGAACCAGTATCTGCATTTTTCGTCAGAAAAGCGACTTTCAGCATTATTAAACACGTACTATAATTATTTAAGCCTCATAATAATTATTAGGGTCAATTATGAAATTATTTCCTAATTCTCACATTTATTTGATTAATCTCCTTAATTAACGGTGCTGGTTCTTATAAGAAAGGTCATCACTCAACATCTTAAAGTTTTGGGTTGAGATGATTCTTTACAGAGTACATACTACGTGAGAGGATGACAATTTCTATTTTGATCTTAGAATAGAGCTAGGTTGATGTGTGTGTGTGTGTATATATATTATATATATACATATATGTGTAAACATTTCTACAGTCACTTTAGATAAGCTTATCTATAGCTACCCTTTATAACTATGTTCTCCCGGGAGAACATAGTTATAACATTAAAGTTACTTTTTTTTTTCTCTCCTCATTTACTTTTCAGAACCTGTCTGCTGACGTGGAGAGAGAAAAAAAACAACTTTAGTGTTATAACTATGTTCTCCCGGTATGTTCTCCCGGGAGAACATAGTTATAAAAGGGTAGCTGTAGATAACCTTATCTAAAGTGACTGTAGAAATATTTTTTCATATATATATATTTTGGGAGGGTGATGTGTATTTTTTTATACATAAAGAAAAGCTAAAAGTAGGGAAAAAAAGAATCAACCAACACCCCTAATTCGAGGAGTGGTTGAGGAGTCCGCAAGCAAAAACAAAAACCATCTAGGAGAAGGTTCTTAGAAGACACAATTATCATTCATATTCGGGCATTCTAGCAAGAGGTTCGCCAAGTAATCGGCGCAGCAATTAGCTTCCCTCAGTTATGAATAAAGTGAACTTGTCTGTTACGATTGATCAATGCTCGAATCCGAGTCATCAAAGATGGCTCATGAGCTTTTTACTATACCTAGTGAGCAACACGAAAACAAAGCTCGAGTCACTTTTAATAATTATTTACTGACACCTGACACCCTTACTCCAAACTAGCGGGAGCGCTTTCAAAACACCACCTGCATTCCAATGTGGGGTGATGTCTATTTAATGGGAAATACTTGTCTTATGTCACATAAGATACTTGTCTTATGTTGCACGCTCATAAAATCTTGTGCCCATTTTTTTTTTTTCATTTTTTCTTTTTTTAAAAATTGTGGACCCCACAACTTTATTTCACCAACATAAGATACCTATCTTATGTAACATAAGATTAATATCTCCCCTATTTAATTAAGCGAGAATGGGTCTCCTTATTAGCAGTTTTTATTATCTGTTTACAGTCATTTTTAATTATAGTTTTTCAAATCTAATTTATTATCACTGATGTTGTTTATTCTTGGTCTATTTAATTCAGGTTTGACATTTCTTATTCCATGGCCTTTTCTAAATCTCAAAGCGTAAGGACTAAGGAGGATTATTAAACGGAGTTTCTTTGTTAAATCTACAAAATTCCAATGCAATTCGGGAATAAATATTCCGATCAAATCAATAGTTTGTAGTTAGTTTCAAAGCCTGCAATGATAAAACGATGCCAGGATAATATCAGCAAAATGGAAGGGGATATACTATTTATAATATTTGAATTTTAAGCCAAGATAGATAATGTATCACGAATATTTCAATAAAATTATATATTCAAATTTGGGCGTTATCACATTTATCCTTAATTAAGAATTGGTAAAAAAAAAGAGAGCCCAAAATCATCATTTGTATATAATACTAGTACAATTCTTGAAACCAGGACCAAGGAACTAGACAATTCTTGAATTGATTCACTGAAACAACAAAGTCTTACATTTGGTTCATAGAAGAGTAGAATACTCTACCAAAAAAGAAGAAGAAGAAAAGTATAATACAGATACCAAAATCATCGAGAAAGTAAAGAAAAGGTTAAGTAAGTCTACCACACATAAACCTAACTATAGTTACAATCAGTGAAATAAATTAACTAACCAAGATTACTTGACTGTAGTTAGTACAGAAACTAATTAAATAATAATATGCTTATTAAATACATCAATTTGAATTATGTATAATTTTTTTTTTTAAATTAAGCTTCGATAAGTAATTCAAATTTTATGATTTTTAACGTATACGCGACCTAATTTTAAAATAGACACTTAACCTACGTTCAAAATCTGCCCTAATATTAAATTATGTATAAAGGCAGGTTTTATAAGAAAGTGAACAGTGATGGAAAAGGGTCATATCTATTGTCTATTGAAATTAAATATTTATATAAGTATTCGACTATTCGTCAGCCATAATTTGAAATTTCAATTACCTAAAATATCTGCAACTGTTTTACATGAGATAAAAATAAGAATTCAAAAGGCTTAATATACTAAGCCAAATATGCCGACAATTTGTAGTATGCTTAGCTTTTTGTATAGGGAAATATAACCGTCGTGTTTAGGAGGAGTTTAATGAATTAATATTAAGCATTGTGGGTAATATATAATTGTAATTATAAAAGTTATTTTTTTCTTCTCAGAAATTGTCAACTGATGTAACATAAAACTAACTTTAATATTATAACTATGAAAAAGGTTATATTTATAAATTATTTTTTTACAAACTCTTACAAATTACAATATATTCTTGAGTAGAATATTTCTGATCATACACTGTGTCTAAAACTAACCATATTCTATTTTGCTCTCGTCACTAGCGTCATAATTATAAGGCACGTATACTGTATACATAAATATAGTTACTCATAAAATGAATATTATACGCAATATTTCACTTATAACATTATTCATGTATATGTGTCTTACGAAGATGATAGCGACAATATGCATTATTTAAAAAGTTATATTTCATAATTTGTTTACAGATATAAAAAAGGAGAATATTTTATTTATTTTTAATTTTTCTCTCCTTTTATCTGTGGATTCTATTGATAATTTTATTTCTACAACATAAAATTATTTTTTTATAATATAAGAAAATTATTTTCTTTATTTAAATGAAGAAAGTAAATCACTGTTATAAAAACCGGACCGAACCTGCCGGGTCGAACCGAAAACCGGTAAATCGGCCATGTGACCGGTCCGGGTAAAGTAATGAATCGGACATGCAAACAACCCGGTGTGAACCGGAATAAACCGGCCGGTTTTATTAAAATCGGTGACCCGCCTGGTCAAAAATAAACAACTTAAGAGAAGGAAAAACGTCGGAGAAAATGGAATGGTGGCCGTCGGGAATGGTGGAGATGACTTGGCCGACAATGGAGTCCCCCAGGGAAGGCCACTACAGATATCTCGCTAGAGATCTGGTCGGGGCAGATGCAGTGGAGCAGATAAACAAACGAAGAAGGAGAAGCTTGAACTTGTTAACATCATGACCACTGTGGCACGTATGGACGTATGGCAAAGAAGAAGAAGAAGCAAAAGAGACGTATGCCAAGGAAGAAGGAGAAGAAGAAGAAGCAAAAGAGAAGATAGGTGTTTTCAAAAAGAAGAAAAAGAGAGATGGCGTGATAAAAACGAAATTGGGAATATGATCGTTTGATGTGAAATAGCTGTTTCAGCCAATAGTTTTGTACTTGCATTTATTACAGTGTATTGGAAAATGAAATGCATTTATTGTGTTGTCAAGTGAAAGGACTTGTTGATTATATTGTCAAATGTAGACTCTTTGCAAAGCTACTGTGTTTGGAAAAATTCATTATATTAATTTTTTTTTTTAAAACAATTCATTATATTAAATTGTATTTGAAATGTGATATTTTTTCTTTTGGAATATAAAATATAATATTTATTACTAATAAAATTAGAAATTTTTTTACCAAAAACAAGAGAATATTTGAAATTGAAATTATTTTTTATAAATATATTTAAATATATTTAAATTTTTTTAATATAAATTATAAATTTATATATATAATCGGGTCATGCGGTTCAACCAATGACCCACTGGTTGAACCAGTGACCCACTAACCCAGTACCTCGATCGGTTCAATAACCGGGTCAAGTTTAATAACACTGCAGTAAATTGAATTTTAGATTTCTCTCATGAGAAAAATATTGTAACAACTAATTAATGTTACTGCCAATTAATTTTACCGTTAGATCGATTATGTTGATCCAACGATTATATTTATTTTCATCTTTGTATGGTTATGATTCCTTATATTTAATACTTTATATTTATTTTCACTTTTGTATGTTATGATTTCCTATATTTAATGCTTTTACAATAAATATGGGGAATCATAACCATACAAAAATAGAAATAAATATAAGGGATCAACAAAATTGATCTAATTGTGAAATTGATCGGTAGTCACGTCACTAATTGATTGTTATAATATGTTACCTTTTCTCTCGTAAGTTTAAGTGAAAACACTGAATTTTTACATTTTTTTATTTAACGTTTTGTAAAAACAAATCTCACAAAAAAAAAAAAACCTACCTAGCTAGTTAATATCATGGACTGGTTCAATTCTTCGCATCGGGTATAAACCATTGTCCTCGTAGATTCAAGATTCTATAAATAAGAACCAGCACCTCAGCAAAATATATAGACACTTGAGAGTAAAGAGTTGAGTCTCCCCTTAATGCCATGGAAGCTCAACTTCCCTTCGTTGTTATTCCATTCTTTTTTTTCTTGCTTTTCCATTGGCTTGCAAAATATTACAAGCCAAAGTCAAGTCTCGCTCACAAACTGCCCCCAGGCCCAACGAAGTTACCTCTCATTGGTAACCTGCATCAACTAGCACTTGCAGGTTCACTTCCACATCATGCTCTCCGAAAACTTTCCCATAAATATGGACCTCTTATGCACCTACAACTTGGTGAAATTCCTTTAGTGGTTGTATCCTCCCCCAGGTTGGCCAAGGAGATTATGAAAACCCATGATATTGCTTTTGTGAATAGGCCGCAACTTCTTGCTCCTCAAATTTTGGCCTATGGATCAACGGATATTGCTTTTGCTCCATATGGTGATTACTGGAGACAAATGAGGAAAATATGTACGATGGAGCTTCTAAGTGCCAAGAGGGTTCAGTCTTTCTCTTATGTTAGAGAAGATGAGACAGCAAAATTCATACAATCAATTCGGTCATCCGCAGGCTCAACAATCAATCTTACTAGTAGAATTTTCTCGTTGGTAAGTTCTTCTGTTTCAAGGGCAGCCTTTGGTAACAAATCTAAGGACCAAGATGAGTTTGTATCTTTGGTCAGAGAATCAATAGCACTGAATGGAGGATTTGAATTGAATGATTTGTTTCCTTCAATGAAACCTCTACATATACTAACTGGGTTGAAGCCCAAATTGGAGAAGATTCACAAGCGAGCAGACCAAATCTTAGAAAACATTGTCACAATGCATCAAGAAAAGCAAGCAAGAGCAAAAGAAGTCAAGGGTGATGCAAAGCAGGAAGATCTTGTTGATGTTCTTTTGAGAATCCAACAAAGTTGCAGCCTTGAGATCCAAATAACAACCAGAAACATCAAAGCTGTAATTTGGGTCAGTAAACATGCCACAAAGCTCTTTTTTATTTTATTTTTTTATTTTTTTCAATTGTAGCTGAAACTGGTCTAACTATTCCTCTTTAATTTCCTACAAATTTTCCCTTTAACCACATCACAAAATTAAGGGCAGAACTATTCGCACCCCACGTAAATATTTCTTAAAAAAAAAAACACCTCTTAATATGTCCACAAGCAACAACTGTTAATACACGTTGACAACTTCTGAGATGTCCGGATATATAGTATTTAAACTAATCATATAGTTACAACATTTGAAAATTTACTATCATCTAATATCATGAGTTGCTGATGATTTTAATAAACAAACCCATGTATTATTTGATATGGGTAAGGATTCGTTTATAAATTTTTTTTAAATTTTTTTAAAAATTACACTATGTATTCTCGGAATTAGATAGTGTAACTTGTAAATAAAAAATTTGTAAATATAACCCTCTCCATTTAATATTAGGTAAACTTATTTGATAGTTGTTTAACTTGAAATTATATCAATTGTTAATCCAGGACGTTTTCGCCGCTGGAACTGATACTTCATCAACAACAATAGAGTGGGCTATGTCAGAAATGATGAAAAACCCGAGAGTGAGGGAGAAGGCACAAGCTGAATTAAGACAAGCATTCAGAGGAAAGGACACAATCATTGAAACTGATCTAGAGGAACTTAGTTACTTAAAGTCAGTGATCAAAGAGACATTGAGGTTACACCCACCTTCTCCTTTGTTGATCCCAAGAGAATGCACAGAATTTACCAACATTGAAGGGTATGACATACCGGTAAAGACTAAAGTCATGATAAACGCATGGGCACTTGGAAGAGATCCCGGATATTGGTCTAATGCTGATAAGTTTATGCCAGAGAGGTTCGATGGCAGTTCCATTGATTTCAAAGGGAATAACTTTGAGTATATTCCATTTGGGGCAGGAAGGAGAATGTGCCCTGGCATGTCGTTTGGTTTAGCTAGCGTTGTGCTTCCTCTGGCTCTCTTACTCTATCACTTTAACTGGGAACTCCCAAATCGGATGAAACCTGAGGATTTTGATATGACTGAACACTTTGGAATGGCGGTTGGAAGGGAAAGCGGGTTGTGTTTGATTCCTACTGTTTATGATCTCTAACTTCACCATGCTCATATATAGTATCCGTTGATATCGACCGCACATTTTGGGGAGTCATGTTTCATGTAATTTATAAATAAAATTAAGCCTCATAATAATCATCGTATGTACTCTTTAAGAAATAGAAATAAATGCTAAATTCTCCCTTTGTTAAAAATCTGTGTGTGTTATAGCCACAAGTAATTGAAAGCAATTTTATTTTTCTCAACCCAGCATTGATTACTGAGAATTGAAAAACAAGCATTATCTTCGAAGTTGGTAAAATTTTCTCGCCAAAATTTGGATGGTTAGATTTCCAAAATAAAAAATAAAAAAATCTAACCATCCAAAAAATTTTATATCACATTTTATTTTATTACTTGAGTTACAAAATTATTATTTTTGTGTTATTAAATTCGAGTCCTTGACTCTGCTGGGTTAATCCAAAAACTGGTGAATCGGTGACCTAATCGGTTCGAGTTAATTAACAGATCGGCCATGCAATAGATTCATTGACAATCGGTTTAACCCTGCAGGTTTTTGCCAAAACCGATGACTCAATCAGTTTTTGTTAACTCAATTGGGTCATGCATATTTTTATTTAAAAATAAATTAAAGCAAAATAATGTCATTTTTTAAGCAACCACCAAATGTAAAACCTCTAAATTGCAATGCACCATTTTCAATTCACAAATACGCATAAGAATCACACAAAAAATAAAACACGATTAAACATTTGAAGTTAAGAAAAAATGAAATTGAAATGAAAGTAAAAATCCTATGTAATATGGATTGAAATTTGAAAGTGTAGAAGACAAGGACGAGAGCTAACTTGAAATTTGAAAAGTGATATTAGTTTTTTTTTTTAACAAATTTTTTTTTTTGTACTTAGGGAGGGCCTAAATTTGAAAAAATAAAACATAAAGATGTAAGAGTTCTATAGTTATTAAAAAACAAGTAAATCTCCATCCAGTAAACTGATCATTTGAGAAGGAGCTGAATACCAAGGTCTTATTTCTCAAACCAATCTTGTATTTGTTGCCATATATAATTTTAAATAATTATGGATAGAAATAATTATGTATGTTGTTAGACAACATAGAAGTTACTATAAAAGAATTTGATTATAGAATATAAATTTGTATATATCTATCCGGATCATGCAATTTAATTAGTGATCCACTGGTTGAAACAGTAACCCATGACAAGATAACCCAACCGAGTCGATGAAATATAGATGTTAATAACATTGCCTTGAAGTTGATTTATAGCTGTCAAGAACCTGATTCCTATTTTCGTTTGAAATATAGAAATTAAACATTTTATTATAAGAATGAGGAAGGTAGGAATCAAATTCTAGATTCCTTAAATAGTAGAAGCATTGATTCCATGTAAAGTATCATGTTTTATAGGATTGTATTGGCTCTTGTTAGTAAACTAATTTTGATCCCTTAAATAGGGTAAAAAAGAAGGAAACTAACAAATAAACTTAACATTTTGAACTATGGGATACCCTTGAAACTTCTATGCATGAAAATGGTAATTTAAGTACTTTATGTTAAAAATTTAAATGAGTGTAATATGAGTGTGAATGAAAAAATATCACATTATATATGAATGAATATATAATGTGAGGATTATTTAAAGTGGAATCACCTGCAAATCTAATTAATATCTTTGAAGTTTAAAATTTACACATAATTATAATGCACCACTTGTGTGATTCCTCGATGAGTCCATCAATTGTATCTCCTTGAAGAAATGGTTTCTCCATACGTTTGGCTTATGGCTTTATTTAATGGTGGGAAATACAATAGTCAAAACATTAAAACGGTAATTTAGTCAAATATAATCATATTTTCTAACATTAAAGACTTTTTAGTTTTAGGTTCCTTGGATTTTCTTGCTAAAAAATTATTATTTGTCGGTCACATAAGCCTAGTTTACTGTGCTAGCCTCTAAGGCCCATTAAAGTGTATAATATTAAAGAGGTTATACCTCTACACCCATAAACTTTGTGATCTTGTGGGCCCTCTTTCATCATATTCAGGTGAACTGGAGGTGTTACATATGCATCCTGATGTGGAAGGCGGCCAAGTCTAAGAAGGCTGAATTGCCTTTTGCATCCCCGGTGCAAAAGATTTTGCACAGATTTAGTGTGCCTATGGCAACTGAGCCGCTGAAGACAGCCACAGGATGGAATGCCATATTTGGTGAGCGTCTCCTGAAATAATGTGGGATCCTGTAGAGCCGAGCGGGTGTGTGGTACTGGAAGAGGGCACCTGAACCACCTGCGATCCCCCTTCACCACGATGCTGAGATGGAGGATGCACTTGTTGGTGATGTATTTTGGGTTATTTTGCACTAAGGTTTATTTTTTACGTAACGTAATTTTAATATTTAATGTTCATGATGTTGATACAGGCCTTGATGACGATGATGGTGGCACTGTTGCTGCTGATGATGCACCTGCACTTCCCACCCGTATCCGGCGACCACTAGCTCCTCCATCTCTTGAGGGTGGATGGACAGTTCTTGAGGGTGGATGGACACTTGATCATGTCATGACATCCATGTATAGCCTGACATATGGCCTTGACTCCTTGACCAGTGAGTTGAGGGGCTTTAGACAGAGCACAAGCAAGTGGCGGACCCAGATTGGCAGCAGGGTGACACGCCTGGAGGCTGGCTACAGACAGGGTGCCCACACTGGTGAGGAGGCTGATGCTATTGTTGAGGATGACGATGATGAGGAGGAGGACGATGATGATAGGGAGGAGACACAATTGGATTCCAGCCAGTAGGGTTTACCTTTTTTGGATATATTTTGGGTTAGTCAGGATGTATTGAGCCCATTTTTGGATGTATAGGGTTGTTTCATGGATGTACACCTTTTGTACTTGGATGTCCACCTTTTGAATGAAATACATATTTCAGATTGATTATTTTGCATTGTTATTGTATTTTGTATATGTACTTAAGAATGAGGAAATCTTTTACTAAAATGCAAGATTTGTGAAGTCCAACTAAATTTTGTGCGTAGATTAGTGCACTTCGTCCTACCTGCATCCCGTATCTACCCAATTAATCCATCCCCAAGTCATATTGTATGTTGCCTGTAAGAACCCGCACCGTTAATTAAGGAATTTAATTAATTAATTATGCAAAAATAGGAAATGATTCCATAATTGACCCTAATAATTATTATAAGGCTTATATAAATATAGTAAGTGGTTAATTATACTGAAAGTCGCTTTTCGGAAGAAAAGTGCAGATACCGGTTCTGCTAGTCGGTATAAATGCGTACTGAAAAAGCATCCCGGAAAATTATAATAAGTGCATGATAATTACTAGAATGATATATAGGACTTGTAAAACGAGTTTCAAGTCCAAATAATGAGAACTGGTGCCAGAAACTGATACTGGCTATGAAAAGCGCGTCCTGGAAAAGTGCTCCGAAAAATATAAGAAAAATATGATAATTCTTGTAAAATTGTGTAGTTTAAGAATCCTGAGTTTGAGATTAAAATGCTAAGCGTAGCTATTAATGTTAATACTGTGTGTTGGTAGTTAAGTGGACTATAAATAAGATCTTTGCACAAAACCCTTGGCCATGTGTGATGTGCCTACGTGAGTGTTTTCTGATTTCTCTTCAGCCTTGTGCCTCCCATTGCCACCTTCACCTTCCTTCCCTCTTGCGAGCCAAAGGTGTCACCTTTCTCCTTGTTCATGCCACTTAAACACTTGTGTATTGTGTGAGGTAGCCTTGGTGGTGAGTTGAGAAGCATTTCTGAGTCTTTGTTGTTGTTGGTTGGGAGTGTTTTAAGACTGTGTTGCTGAGTTGTGAGGGAGAGACCTTGTCATGGCATTTTGTGGTGCCAAGAAGTGATCCTATGGCTTAAAAGACCAAGCTTGGTGTGCCATTTTCGCGTCTTGCCTTAGTCTGAACCTTGGTGCTGTGAAGAGTGCTCCATTTGTGTCTCATTTTCGGAGTTGTGAGCCTTTGAGGTATACCATGATCACCTCTTTGTCATTTTGGAGTTTAAAGCTTGTTTAATCAATTAAAAAGAGGAACTTTAACCATTTGAGTAAAAGAATGTGTTTTTGGGTTCATAACTTATTGGTGATTATCTGTTTAGGGAGTCATTGGACTCCCAATCGCTTTGGACCTTTAAATTTGGGATTATGCAGAAATTGGCTCAAATTTTTGCATTCTATTGAAGAAGTATTCGAATACTTTTCGTGTAGTATTCGAATACTTGTTCATCAGGTAGTCGAATACTCATTGTTGGAGTATTGGGATACTTTCTGGGAAGAAAGTATTCGATTACCCTTGCAGAAGTATTCGAATACTTAATAGTATTCGAATACTTGGGGTTTGGTATTCAGATATCTTATGGTATTCGAATACTGGAGTGAAAGTATTCAAATACTTTCTGGAGAGCTGGAGTATTCGAATACTACTCGTGGAGTATTCGAATACCTCCTGCAGAAACAACATATAATGAGTTAAAATGAGTAAGAAAGACTTAATCACTTAGTGTAATCTGTGCTATGATTATTGATGATTAATTATGGTATGGGCAGATTGTGATTGTGCTGTTTGTGGGCCTTGAGATAGTGTGGACTCTTGGCTTGGATAGCTAGCTTGCAAGGTAAGCTTTCGTGTCCTCGGTTTAGCCATGTTGTGGTTCCACCATGTCCCATGGGGGTATGGTTATGTGCATGCTGTGTTACATGCTTTTGATGTTTTGGAAATGCTATTGAGCTGTTATATGCAAGTGCCTTTATGATATGCATGTGGTGTTCCACCTATACGGTAAGCCTGAGTATGTGGTACATACAAGATGGTGAGGCTGTGGGTGAGGTGCAATCGGTGTTCCTTGTACTACATGTAGGTATAGACGTATTCTTGCATTTCTCTGGCCAGTAGAATAGTGATAAACACACATGGCATGAATATCTGTTGCACTGCATAGTTTTGGAACTGATATTGGTATAAATGCTTTTAGAACTTATACTGCACATGTAAGTGAGCTTGGGGTGGAAGATATAACACCCAGTATATATCCGAAAATGTTACCATACTATCGTATTAAGCTGCGCTTAATTAAAAATGCGGAATATCTTTTTC